ATACTCCAACTGCGGCAGCAACAGAAACAACAGAGCGGCCGTTATTCAACAGGAGTTAACAGGTAAATGGTTTACCACATACAAAGTTCAACATAGAAATAAGTTTAATATGAAAGTTTACCGCAGAGTTACACCACACAAAAGTTCAACATATCAAATTTTACCCGGCTAGTTTAGGCACAAAATAAATTACCACAGAAAAAGCCGAAGATTCAGCAGCTTGAGGCAAGGAACACGAGCGCCCCATGGGGCATTAGGAGCCTCGTGGGGTACAGCACCTCCCCCAGGAGGCACGCGTCTCCCCCAGGAGGCACGGGTCTCCCCCAGGAGGCACGGGTCTCCCCCAGGAGGCACGGGTCTCCCCAGGAGGAGGCACGAGTCTCCCCAGGAGGCACGGGTCTCCTTAGAAGATAGGGGCCTCCCCAGGGGGCAAAGCAACCCCCAGGAGCAGGATATCCCCTAAGGGGGCAGGACCCCCACCCTGAAGGGTGTACAGAAGAGGAGGTACCCACCATGGGGCTGGGCTCGGAGCTCCTGACGCTGGTGCTGTCGTCAGGAGCTGTGACGTCAGCACTCCTGCTGCTGTCACTGCTGCCCCCCCGCCCCCCAACGCCCCCCACCTCACTGCCAGTAGACGCTCTCTTCCTCACGCCTCCTCCCCAGCCTGATACCCCACTCTCCCCACTCTGTGGGGGAGAAACATTCACATTAACACGATGAGTGGGATGAGTGGTTGAACACTCTACACGTGCTGTCATCTGAAATTAAATTTAATTATTTCATTACTTATTCTACCCCAGTAATATAACCTTGTTGGTGATATTACTTGTACCATGCAGTAATAACACCTTGTAAGTGATAAGTACTTATATTATCAGTCTGCTTATATCGTAAGTTCATAAGGAATTTAAAAGCTAAAAAATGGCAAGCAATTTCACCATATCGATATAAAAAACGTTTTGGAGTCCAGCTCCATCATCAGTTCGACAATCAAAAAATGAATAAAATCATTTTATATGTCAAAATTCTATTACCTCGTTGCACTGACAATAACTTGAATTGATAGCTGCCATACGAAATTAGATAGGTTCATTATTTTGTCACCTCAGTAACAACCACTCACTGAACGAGATATGGTACGTTAATATTTTGTACATTAGCGTATTTTGTACGTTATTTTAAAAATACGTTAACGCATTTTATATGTTAGCTCCCTGACAGAACAAGAAGCGTCAGTCAGAACCTGTTTAATATTTTGTACGTTAGCATATTTTGTACGTTATTTTAAAATACATAAGCGTATTTTGTACGGTATTTTAAAATAAGCTAAACGTATTTTGTACGTTAGCTCCCTGACAGAACGAGAAGCGTCAGTCAGAACCTAGAACAGCGGAGTATAGGTTCTTCGACTCACTCACCTACGAGTCGTGAGCGTAGACAAATGTGTTAAAGTTACATGTGTTAAACTTACATGTGTTAAAGTTACATGTGTTAAACTTACATGTGTTAAAGTTACATGTGTTAAACTCACATGTGTTAAACTTACATGTGTTAAACTTACATGTGTTAAACTTACATGTGTTAAACTTACATGTGTTAAACTT